AGCAGGAATTGATTTATTTGTGGATGTGCATAAAGACAATAAGCTGGTCAATGAAAAACAATTAACAACCAGAATCTATTAGAAGTAAACTTGCATTATTACCTCCGTTTTCTGATTTTTGTGAGATATCAGGAATCTTCCACAATATTCTTTGCTGTTCAGCATTCCTTTTTTAAAAAAAGGAACAAAATAGCATAACTGAGGAGGAAATGAAGGAGCTCTTCTGAGTCATTTGCATTCTAGAAAAAGTAGTGGGAGCGGTATGATATTTGTTGAAAATACTTTCTTCTGGTCAGGCCCATCAATGGGGGACGGAGGGACATAGAGGGGGCAGCTCCCCCAGGGCCCGGTGGTTCAAAAGAGCCCAAGGCTCCCAGCAGCAGCCCCAGGACCTTGAAATTGTTGCTAGAGTACCATGCTGTGCACTCCGGGGGCAGCACTAAGGGCTGGGAGGAAATGTGGGGCAGCTTCAGGTGGTATTCAGGGCCCCATCCCTTCTGCCTGAGACCCCAGACCTTCTGGGAGCTCAGAGTCAGCCCTCACATGCACCTTGCCCAGGGGCCCTTGGAAGCTATTGGTGCTCCTGCATCTGGTTAGGAGTCTCATGAGGTTATATGGCATCCGTTTTGCTATCAAAATGAGTTCTAGGCCCAACTCTGCCAGTGATTTACTCTGTGATGCTGAACAAATCACAAACTCAGTGCGGCAGCTTCCCCATCTGCATGCTATGGAGAATGATGTCTACCCATAACTGTAAAAGTACTTTGAGATCTATGGTGAAAAGAACTCTCGGTGCTAAGTATCGTTAATATTAAAAGTACTGATGTGACTGTCACATTCTTGCATGCTGGTTAAGATCAGACTGTCAATTTGTGAAAGTGACAGGAAAAAAAACAGAAGAGCATTTCATGTCTTCCTTTGCTGTAGAAAGCAGATTCTAATGTCTAGCATTCCCCTTGTGATCCTGCATGCCTCAGCTAGAGCCTTATGAATATCAGCATGTCACTATACCTATTGGAGATGAAGTACTGTTATGAGCATGAAAGTGGCAGGGTGGTAAACAATAAGGAATGGCTTTGTTGTACAGTACTAGACTTTCATACCAAACAGCAGGTGGAAGCACAGCTTGAAGTTTTGTTACACCTCCATCTATGGGAACTAGGAATTGGACGTTGTTTAGCGCTACGGGTGTAGTCATTGCCTCTGTATTATATTTGTAGTCAATGCGAAGGTCAGTGCTTGTAGATTCACACCGCCAGCTCACTGCAAGGTTTAATGGAGTAGACTGAATACCTTGGGCTGATACCTTAGAAAACAACAGAAAAACAATATTTAGTTTCCATAAGGCTGGAGGCATATGCAGCCATAGAAATAAAATCTTTGTTGATTTTAGAGTAGAGAACTTCATGTACTTCCTCAGTAAGTTTGTCAGGGACTTAAGTCACGCCCAGTTCAATGGTATTGAAAAGGCAACCCTCGTGCAAAATTCATTTCCTATACTAAAGAGCAGACTATTCCAGGCAATTTTCTGTACTAGAGACAGTTGCTAGCAATGGTACAAGGTTAATTGCATTTTTAACAATATTTTACTTTGGCAAAGAGCTTACCTGGTATTTGAGCATATCCACATTGTAATACGTTGCTTGTGGTTTCTGTTCAGACACTTTTTTTAGATGAGTCATCAGATTTGGCATGTTTACCCAGAATTCTTTTGTGTTGGCATCAGTTTGTGTACTGTCACTATGGATTTATAAAAGATAAAGGATTAGCTATTTTAACAAACAGAATCTGTAAAAGTAAGTTCTTCTCCAAATAATCAGAGGATGCAATCTTTGGCATGCTGTGTAGTAGGATTTAATTCTAACACTTACAAAACAATGTCCTTCTCCCAATTTTTGAAACACTTCATGAAAATTCTACCTTGGCCTCAACTATAAACATTTCCACAAATGTATCATATTATATATATATATAGCTTTGAAAGTTAGTTTCTCTTGAGAACGAGAGCTTAATAAACACTGGCTGCAGATGGCCATAGTGAGAGAAAGTGTCTACTCTGCTGTAAGACAGGCATATCTTTAGGCTGGCTAGCCTTTGCTGCAGCATGCACTTCCGAGGCTATATTCTATTTTTAACAAACTAGTTTGGATGGGAGTTAATGGGAATTGGTCTTCTTGAGATGCAAATGGCATCCCCAGGTCAAAATGAATACATGCCCAAAGTGAAGTTAGTGTCAGCGAGAACTGCCGCATTGCCAGACCTGTAAAAATTTTCAAAAGTGTCAAAGTCACGGAACCAATGTTCCATTTTCAAAAGTGACTTAAGTGCTTAGGAGCATGTGTCTCATAGTAAGCCACTTAGGGTCAGATTGTTCATGTTATTTAGGAGCTTGAAGATGCAGAAAGGCACCTACTGGGATTTTCAGAAGCTCTTAGGTTCGTAACTGCCCTGGATTTCCATGGGGGTTAGGCACCTAACTTCTTTTAAAAATTAACTCCTGAATTCTTAAAGTTTTGAATTTATATCTCCAGTGGTGAAAGCCTAGCATAGTATTATGGCACTTCATCCATATGCATGCTCCACCCATAGCACTAAATTGGTGTTAACATCCACAGTATTAAACGAAGCTGGAGGGTAGCTGGGTTGGTAGACATCCAAGAATTAGGAAGGCAGAGAGGTGACTAGGTCCTACACACAATCCAGGTTTCCAAGATCTGGGAATTTTATCTATTTTGTCCAGGATAAATGCCAAATTAACTTTAAACTAAGAGTTGTCAAATGAACAAGAAATTGATCTTAGGCATTATTTAAACAACTGTAAACAAAAACATTATGAGCTAAAATATTATTTTAAAATTGACTGCATCCTATTCAGTTTTATACTAAATAATATTAAGAGATGGTTACTTTTATGAATAATTCTGTAGTACAGGCCAAGGTTTAAAATTCCACAGGATCACCATATTTTATTCTCTGGAAATGTTTCTTCTAACACAGCTACAGATAACATTTCTTATAAGTCTCTACAAAGTTTTTGTAAAATTATATTTACCAGCAGAGAAGTTGGGGATTTGGCAGGACGTGTTCTAACCTGTTGTAATTTATCACACGGAAGGTTAGAACAGCTGGGGCTGGATTATTGGCAAAATGTCTGGTAATTCCAGCAGGAAATGACAGCACCATTTCTCCAGTTATCTTCACTATACATCTTCAAAAATCAAATAAAAGGAGACAAAGGGAGAGAAGAAAGAAAGCAGCTTTAAAAGAATAATCTGGATCAAGCCAGGCATGATGGAGATGGTGACATTTCATTCCTTCCCTATTATACCGCAAAGAAAATCTTCTACTTCAAAAATCAGCATTACTCTGAATAGAGAAAAAGTCTGGTATTTGAGCAACAAATAGAAAACATGATCTTTCTGTGAATGCCTCTGGACTTGCATTTAGAAACAACCTGCTTCTCTCTTCATAAGAGAAAAACAAAACCCAAACTGAACAGTTGCCAACAGCCCACTTCTGCCTAGGACAGCCCTGGCTTTCTGCTCTCTGATCCAGGCAACGGAACTGAGCTGTAATTTCATTGCAGGTCCTGATCCAGCCATATTTACTGCTGTCCTGTGGCAATAGAAGCAGCCCACTTACAGTGCTGTACCTCAGTGTCTCTGCTTGCAGTAGGGAGAGATGAAGCAGCCAGGGCAGCCTTCAGGACTCTCACTAGCAGCAGCTTCATCTCAGCCCATTCCCTCACTGGATCAGCAAGGAAGAGGAAAGAGTTCAAATCAGATATAGTGGATGTTCTAAATGTAGGTCTAATTATTTTGAAAGAGGAATACTGAGGATACTGAAAAGAGTTGTTCCTGGCAGTCAGATTGCCCCTCCCCGCAAAAAAAAAAAATCCATGACAGGCTTTATCAAAGGAAAATAACATGCCCCAGCTTGTTTGAGTTTTACCTTGCCACTCAGTGCTTTCTCATGCCAGGTTTTTACATACATAGTAAGGTCACAGCCCACCTGGTCTTAGAGCTAAGGCTGACAAGATGTGTGCTTAGACTATCATCTTTAACAATGAAGTAGTGGGTTTCAATGATTCCATAAATGGGAGGTAGGGGATAAAGTGAACCTGGATACAACATAAAGAGAACTGGGAAACCCCCACAATGAGTTTTGCCATTTTTATTTCCTTGCTTATATGTTGTTTCTAGGCCTCAAACTAATTCAGAGATTGCACTATTAGTTCTTTGCTTGTTGCTGATCCATGTACATTAATACAAGGAAGCAGACTACAATATGCTCAGTATCCAGGTGTTCACGGCAACTTCCTTACAGGAACTATCACTTTTAAATACAGTCTCTGAATTTGCATTCCTATGTCTTTTGGAGATCACGTTATCCCCCTCCAGCCCTCTTACACAGATAGGCTATGTCTACACTATGAGTTTTTGCCAGAAGAGGCAATGCAAATGAAGCACTGATTAGCATTTTGTCGCGCTTCATTTGCATAATCTATTCAGAGCTATTTTTGTGCAAGAAGTCTTTGCGCAAAAGCAAACAGTGTGGCCGTGGCTGTTTTGCACAAAACCCCCTTTTTGCGGAAGATCTGTATGCCTCTTCCAGCGAGGCATAAGGATCTTGCGCAAAAACCAGACACGGCCACACTTCTGGTTTTTGCGCAAAAGTCTATTATGCAAAAACGGCTCAGAATGGATTATGCAATGAAGCATGACAAAATGCTAATCAGCGCTTCATTTGCATTGCCTCTTCCAGCAAACACTTGTGTGTAGACATAGCCATAAAGGGGGAGGTAGTACATGCTGCCAGTTTCTGGCTGTGCAGTGGTCTATGTGGAATCCCTTGGACTATTCTAAGCTATTCCACAGGTTGTTTTGATTCCCTTTTGGCCTAGAATCTCACCACTCATCCTCAGCTGTTCTGATTTTAAATCCAGGGCTGAGAATCTAGCTCACTGAAAGAGATACATATGTATGTATGTAAAGTTTGTAGGAATATTGTTGAGGACATTGCTGACGAACATAGATAGGACAACCTCTGTCTTTCCAGTAAGAGGCAAAGAGCATCTAAGGATGTTCTGGCAAGGAGATGGCCTTTAGCACAGTACTAGGTCTGCTGTGTGTAAAGAAGAACTCATGGTGAAATGGTATTCTAGTGGTATTAGTTTGTGTCTATCAACTACTTGTCAGGGGAGCAAACAAGTACACAGGACTGAAAAAAAAAAATCAGGAAACCTGGGATAAGTCTCTTTACCTCTTTGTGCCTCCATTTCCCCATCTGTAAAATGGGAATAATGATACCTGCTGTCTTCTTCTATAAAGCACCTCAGAATATTCCTATACAGCATTCAGAAATCTCAAACATACAAAAATTTCATTAAAAATACTATGTTATGGGTAAATAAGGTCCCAACTAAACACAAAAATCAGGAAATACAGAATTAAAAATATCACCTTTCTTTCTTGCACACACCCACCATCGTGAGCAAATCAACAATAGCCACCAAAGATAAAGATGGGCCTTGAGTCCATCCATTTCTGTATAGCTTTCTATTGGTATGTCTATATTGCATTCCTTTTTCAAGAGAGAAATGCAAATGCAGCTGAGAGAAATTGCTAATGAAGTGCAGATTTGAATTTCCCATGCTTCATTTGCATAATTGCATCCGGCCTCTATTTCAAAATACCCTATTTCGAGATAAAAAATGCTGTGTAGATGCGGTTATTTTGAGAAAAAAACCCTAGTTTCAAAATAACTCTTAAACCTAAGGAGTAAGGGTTATTTCGGAAGAAGGGTTTTTTCTCAAAATAACTGCATCTACACAGCATTTTTTATCTCGAAATAGGGTATTTTGAAATAGAGGCCGGACGCGATTATGCAAATGAAGCGTGGGAAACTGAAATCCACGCTTCATTTGCAATTTCATTTGTCTGCATTTGCATTCCTCTCTCAAAAGATAAATGCAGTGTAGACATAGTCTATACTTCCTGCAGCCTCAGGTTAAGTAAACCTTGGCTTCTGAATGCCTGCAGTGCTTTGAATAAGAAGACATCACTGTCATGGAAAGTTGAGTTATGCAGGATTTACAACAGTGGAAATGAGAACAGAATTTGGCCCATCATACACGTGTAGGAGGGATAATAGGTTAGTACAGTCATACTAGCTAGCATCAGGTCAGAATTTTCAGAATGCAACATCCAGAAAGTAGAGAGTGGGAGAAGAGTGGCCAATTACATGTATATTACTCCCTAATAAGCCCTAGGGACTCACTTTCTGGTTCCTCTCTGTCACTACTTTTAAAATTAATTCCTTGATTAACAGAAACAGATGTCAATTAAAGTATTTTTCAGTCCATAACGGGTAAGCCTGACACACAGAAGCAGAACTTTTACCTTGTTGGGTTACTTGCGGGTATGAGAAAACTGGTAATCTTACCATCTAAAAATCAAACCTATTAAGAGGATTTAACTATTTGTGCTTCTCTAAACTAAGAATAGCTCTTAAGAGAATATTATTTCCCTCATATTTATAAGAAGTTTTATAATCAGTAATGCATATTTAATGTGTATAGTATATAAGTACATTAAAACTTTTGTCTAACCATGTGACACTTTGCCTTGAGGAAGGAGACAGGCTATAACCAATGCTTTACCAGCCTGATTCTAGCATACACTTGTCTGGACCCAGGGTAGCTAATAAGGCTGTATGACATGAGTTGTGTCTGCAGTATCCCAGCAACTAAACTGCGAGCATCAGACAGAAGATACGTTTTCCTATCTTTTGCTGTTCTTTCTTCCTTTTACTGCTCATTTGTGTTCTCTCCCCCTTTCCTGCCAGGTTCATTTATGCTAAAAAATCAGAACCAGACCTGCATCACAGAAGCTGAGAGCAACCATCTAGCCTGACCCTATTTTCTCTGAAAGAATCACATTTGATGTCCTGCAAGAGCTTTCCCTTTAAAAAGGCATTATGCCTGGAGCTCTCTTCTCTTACCTATCTGGTGGAAATAGACAAAAGGCAAATGAGAACCTAATAAAGAGACATCAAAAAAGACGGAGACAGGGGAGAAACAAATTGATTTTCTACCTCACTGTCCTAAATACAAAATAAGAAAAAGAGACACTTCCTGAGGGTTCCACAAATAGTAGACAATTTCCCATTCAACTTAAGAAAAAACTGTTATGCACTCCATCTGGGGAAATAAAAGCCATAGCAGTCAAATCTCATGGTGTGAGCAATAGTATCAAGATGGCCTACTTCTGTCTACAGGACAGACATGCTGTATAAAATGGACATTATCTCTGGTAAACCTATTCTAGACATAGATAACAAGGATGAAATCCAGGCCCCATTGAAATCAATAGTTTTGTTATTGATCTGGGCTGGGCCAGGATTTTATCCTGAAGCTTCTGAATTTTAACATTGATAACTCCTGCCTAGCCAATAAAATAATTCAGGAACTGGGTGTTTTTGTTTTTTGGTAATACTTTCAGTTAGAGATGGCACAAAATATAACACCAGATTTGAATGTCCTTTGACTTTGGGGAAGATTCAGATCCATACAGACCCAATTCCTTTATTGCACATGGCTATTTGAGCACAAATCTACCTAGTATCTACTTACCTTTAGCACTCAAGGATCTGATTTCTGTATGTGACAAGCATCAGAAACTCTCACTCAAGACTTATATAAAACGTGACCTTCAAAATGCTATCCAGATCCAATTGTTAGAACATCCCAGCAAAGCAGGCAGGCAGGCAAACATATTCCTTGCTTTACAAGGAAAATGAACTAAAGCGAGGCTGGGTGATTTTCCTACGGTCCCACAGCGAGTCAGTGGCTGAGTCAACCATGTCATTGGGACAGTGCTGGTACTCTTAGTGTTCAGATCATGACACTGCTCCACTGCGCTATGCATGGTTTGCACTGAGGTTTTCAATCTCTTCACCCACTTTTTTTTAAAACCCCACTAACTATACGGTTTGAACAATAAGATATGTTCACAATAACTGGTAAGTTTTACTGACAGCCATCAATATGGAGGTATTTTCCTTTGATTCACACCTAAAATTCCATTTAACAATGATGGGGATTTATGCACAAGCAAAGGAAAATATACTGTTAAATGAGCAGTAACACAAAAAAAAATTGAGTGAGCATGCCCCTCAATGAAAGCAGTGTTTAAAGAGGCTGGATAGTTTTTACAATCACAGGATGTAGTTTTTATAGTCATAGTCCTGCTAGATAATTGGGTTGATTCATGCCCTTGGAGGGCTCTGGAAATAGGGACTAATGATCCAAACATTACATTGAAAAGATTTGTACCTAAAGTTGACTATTCCACTGGGGGTGGGGGGACTTACTTATTAGGGTCTGCTCCTTTAAAGTATGCATTAACAGTTTCTGTGAATGCTGCTGCTACAGGGAGGGTATCCTGTGCTCCCATCGTCAAAGGACTGGGTCCTCTAGAAGAGCCTGCAACAGAGAAGCAACTTTCACTTGTTATGTGCATATAGAACATTACAATTACTCAATACCGGGGGTGGGGGAATAAAGAATCATTAACTGAAAATAGAAAGTCAAGTCTTGCATTTTGCTTTTATTTGTGAGCAGTAAAAGTCCCCTGGGCTTTCAGAATAGAGGGTCATTTAATCTCTATATGACCAAAATAATTTATATTCTTTATGACAAACTGCCTGTGAAAGCAGAACACAGGGAGTGGCACACATCTAAAGGAACTTGGATGCATTATGAATAGGCAGTATTTGCATGACAGTTTGTGCAGTACACTTTTATATTCTACAAAAGAGAGTTGGGCGATTTAATTAAAAAACTCATTCACCTCACAATTTGCAGTAAAATATTTGGCACTGTTTTGTTTTTGCTTTTGTGCCCAATGTGCAACACACACTGATGAATCTCTTCCAAGGCTCTGCAGTTCCCTTCCTTCTTGCTTCACCCAAACTTAACTGCAGCTGCTGTCTCCAGAGGTACAGATGTCTGTGTCAGAGGCTATGACTACACTGCACTGTTCCTCCGGAAAAAGCTACACAAATTGCAAACTGCAATTTGTGAAGCTTTTTCCGCTTCTTTTTTCAGAAGAGGCTTTTCCAACATTTGGCTCATCTACACTGGGCCAAATGTTGGGGAAAACCCCCTTTTTTGGAAAATCCCTTCTTCCTCGTAAAATGAGGTTTACAGGGAAGCCAAAAAAGCTCATCTGCTTTTCCGAAAAAAACTTCAGAAAAGCAGACACGTTCTCTGGACACAGCAGAGTTTTTCCAGGATAGGTATCCTGGAAAAACTCTGGAGTGTCGATATAGCCTAAGTTAAATGATGCTCCAAGCAGCATTCACACAGATTTAATACTTGCATGGCTTTCTGAGATAGGGTTTGAACAGATACTGACTGTTTGTCTGCTCAGCTGCAGCCAGGCTCTCATAGGAACATGGCCAACAGAGATAATATAGAGCAAAAATGCTTCTATCACGTTGGGGATTCTTTTCCTTTTGGATCTTGGAGATCTGTAGGAATATTAGGAATGCTTCAAAGAAACTCTGGCCTTGATTCTGCAAAACCTCAAGCACATATTTATGTCCTTTTGAAGACATTGAATAGGAATATGTTTAATGCTTAGCTGAATAGGAGCCTTTTACATTCATTTTAGGGAATTTCTAGCCCCTCTCCAGATAAGAGGAGGACAGTTTGGCCTGAGTGGCTTGTGAACCTTCCAGCCTGGCAAAGCTACCATACAAGCAAGACTACCATGAATTATGGTATCAGGTGGAAACAATGAAAAACTCTGAATTCAACTCAAAATCAGACAAACCATGGTAGCTCAGATTGAGTTTTGGGTTTAAATTAAATTCAGAGTGAAACTAAGGAATGCAAATTCACAACAATTAATTCAGGACAACCATAAAATTAAAAGAAATGGAAAGATTTCAATCATTAAAGTACCTAGATATTTGCTTCAGTCATGTGCTGCATGTTCTGTAATGAAGAATCTATGGAGCTGGCACCACACATACTCAACATGAACACTAAAAGAACTAATCCCCTGATGTTTGCAGCCACTGATTTTTCCTTTGCTGGCAATGAGCCTGCTTCTATGTAAGAAATCTGAAGTCAGCATCAATCAGGTAAAAACTGAAGGTTTAATAAAGTCATGTTAGGGGAAAAGAATAGTTGAATTCAGAATTTGCATATAAATCAAATATGGGCATGTGGGAGTTACACACTATTTTCCAGATAGACAGCTAAAGATGATGCCTTGTTCACTGAAAACAACAGAGAGGAGTATTTCTAATAACAAGTGCCTTGGGCATTAAGTATTGTTTTGGCAAAGATCTAGTTTCTCTCTTTAATGGAAATTCTAATAGATCAGAATGACAATTAGTAGTCATTTACCAATGCACGACATACTAAAGCTATGATTCAATAAAGAATGAATGCCTTTTACCTGTCATTCACACACTGGGAATCTGAATGCTTCAAACTTTCAATCCCTACTGAGATAGAGTATGCAATTCAATAAGTTAGGGATGAAAATGAGGACAATGTGTGCATGGGGGAGGAGGAGAAATGTAGCATTGCCTTGATTTTTGAAGGTACTGTCACAGCTCCTATTACTTTGATTTGAATTGGAGGTGCTCTGCACATCTCTCAAAAGCAGACTTCATTTTTTTTTTTAAACAAAAGCCAACCCATTACATTCCCTATCTCAGCAGTTCCCAACCGCCGGTCTGTGGACCAGTGGTGAGCCATGAACCGCTGCTTGGTGGGCCCCAGTTGCTAATTGAGCCCTGCCCGTTGGAGAAGTGTGTACCTGTGCACAGAAAATTCTCCGCTTGCCCACTTCCTCGCACAGCAGCACACAGTGAATGATGCATCAGGTGGGTGCCCCAGGGGTCTGTGTGGGACCAGCGTGTGTGGGGGGGCCAGCTGCAGAGCACATGCATGGAACTGGAAGTCCATCAGTCTTTGCTTCTTAAGGGCCCCTTCTAGGCCATTAAGCCGAGGCATCTCTATGGAACGCAGCAGCTGCTCACGCAGGGGGCTGAGACGACAGAAGAGAGCAGCGGTGGCAGCGCTGCCTCCGCCTGCCCTATGGAGGGTGCGGGGATGGGCAAGAGCATCAATCCTATCAGTGTGATCCTAGTGAGCTTGGGAAGCAGCAGCAACAAAGTTGCTCTTCTGCTTCCCCAGGCCGGTAACTGACAGAGTGGGGCCACGTGCCAGGCACACGAGGCCAGGGCGAGGCTTTGTCCTTTGGGCCTGATCACGCGCCAGGGTGGGGCCTGACACTGAATGGGCAGAACTCGTAGGCATGAGGGCTTGATGCCAGTCACAGAGGAAGAGCGAGGCAGGGGTTGGGCTCAAACTGGGCAGCACTAAGGGGCTGGAGGTGGGAGCACATTGAGGGCCAGTTTCCAGGCACTAGGGGGGTGGGTTCCTGAGGCAAAGGGAATGAGGAGGGAAGGAGGCAAAGAAAGACAATGGACCTCAAAGCAGGCAAATTTGGAGAAGTGGTGGGTTTGTGTGTGTACAGCTGCAGTGCAAAATAAACACGACTGCTTAAAATTAAATTACCATAATGAATATGCAAGTGTTTCTATACTGGTTTGCCAAATTATTGAATGAGTTTGCTGGTCCACAGTATAAAAAAGGGTCAGGAACCACTGTTCTATTTGTCCTTCTTGACCTGGCTAACTCTCTCCCAGAAACAAAGAAAGAAACAACCAAAAAAGGATCATTCCGAATGAAAGATTGTGTTTTAGAGATGGGATTTAAAAATATAAAAGTCAAACTATGCCTACCAGACCTCAGGGCTTTTATTTTGCAGTACAAAATTTGTGCACTGCTGGTACTTACATATTTTGCAAATGCAATTTAGTTTGTTAGAGCTTCCAAGGCCTCAATGCAATAAAGATTAATGATTTATGTCATTCATTCACAGGCTGCAAGTGTAAATACAGCAGGAAATCCCTGGATGATTTCAATCCACCCATGATTTACTAAGTGATGACGCTCAGGTAAAGGGATGAAGTCACAAATGGGTGCAGGCAGCACTACATTTAAACATCCTAGTGTGGAACAGGATTCCAGTTCTGTTCCTCATCTAGCACAGGAATGCTTGTATCATCCATTTGGGAGAGCAATCCTGATGGCTGCATTTTGACTTAGATTGGGTTACATTACATCCATGCAGAAGCAGCAGTATTAAGGGGAATACAAGTGAGAGAGCTGTAGCTTCTAGATCTCTTCCCTATAAAAATGGCAGAACACAAAAAAGGGCAAAGCCCCTTTGCTTGTGGGTCGGACTACAGCATGTATACAGTAAGGGATCTGTTGATTGCTCAGTTTCACTTCCAAACAAAGAAACAAAAAGTAGGAAAACCAAAACTGCTTAAAAACTGGAGACTGTGGAGTGCTTGTAGGGCTCGATGCCCTCTGCTATTCAATGGACTGGAGAGGGTAGGGAATTTAGAAGAACAAACTATATGCTATTCTCATGTGGAAATTTCTTTCCACTTGTAAGAGTCTGAATCTTTCTCAAAGTAAAAGACACATGAAAAATTTTCAAAGATGTATCAACTACTTCTAAAATATCAGATCACTCACACAAGCGATCACATTTATTTCTTCCTTTTGGCTATGTCTACTGGCGGCTTCTTGCACAAGAACATCTTGTGCAAGAAGTCTTGTGCAAGAAAACGTCCACACTGCCATGTGCGAGCTGTGCTTTTGCGCAAGAGCGCCCATGGCAGTGTGGACGCTCTCTTGTACAAAAAAGCTTTTGTAATGGGACTGTTACCCCTTACTAAAACTCTGTGGGAGTTTTTGGTTTGCCAGCTCGCAGTATCTGAAGGGGAAGAGTTCATTAGACTGACTGACCCCAGAGACAATGGAAAGCAGCCAACACTCCAGCTCAGCCTGATTGACAGGTTGGACAGGCCAGTGAGGAAGGGGAGAGGCCAGGCCCCGTCTTCCCTGTGAGCTGGGATTGTTTTGGCTCTGTCTCTGAACAAACAAGCTGTGTGCAGAAGAGGTCCTGCAAAGACAGAGAGCTGAAAAGAGCAGTGCAAGCTGTATGAAGAAGTCCTGCAAAAGGAACAGAGAGCTGAGACACTGCTAAGAGGAGTGCAAGCTGTGCTGAGGGGCAGTTTTGCAGCAGCAGAGCCAGGCATACAGAGCACAAGGAATGCAGACCCTGTGTTGAGCAGCAGACTGGCAGGGCTCAGAGAGCAAAAAGGAACAGAGAAGCAACACAAGGAGCTGGAACTGGCCAAGCAGCACAGCCTGCAGCTGGATGTGGTGAGCACCTGGGACCAGCAAAGTGTGGGGAGAGGCTCTGGACTGGGAGAGGGGTCTGGCCACTTCGAGCTTGAGACTGTGTGGTCACTACCAGAGCTAGCATGTTCAGCCTGTAGCCCCCCCTGCAGCATATCCAGGGCCTCTAAGAAAGAGACTGT